CTGGCTGAGAAGAGCCCCTCCTCCCTAGGGGAGAGGTGGAGGCCATCTCTTCCCAGCAGCTCGCTGCCTCTCTCACCAAAGAGTGGGCTGTGGTCATGAAAGCCAAAGCCTTCCTGACGACACCAGCGCCGCAGTCTTTGGTTGACCACGTGGATCCTCCTCTCCCTCCTCGGCCCATAGCCTGAGACTGGGAGGATCGACGAGAACACCACCTGTGCCCCCAGACCCTTTAGCCCTGCTCCCAAATCCCTGTAGCGCCTCATGACCCGGCTGGGAGTGTTCCGAGCCGTGTCTTTGGTGCCCACATGAATTAGGAGCATGGGATAGTGGTCTGTGGGTTGGAGGAGCTCTGGGATCCTCTCTGCAATGTCCCGGATGCGGGCCCCCGGGAAGCAGCAGACTTCCCGGGCTAAGGGGTCAGGGCAGCAGATTGCCCCCTCCGTCCCCCTCAGGAGGGAGTCTCCCACAACAAACACCTTACGTTTTGTCTTGGGGAGAGCAGGGGCGGGAGCTGCAGTTGGGCCCATGTTGCCTGCGGGAGCCGGCAGCTCAGCAGGCTCTGCTGGATGTTGGAATTTGACCACATCGGTAATTAAGCTTTTATTAAATCCAAAGGCTACATTACTTTAAGTGAGCATTCTAAAATACTGCAACAAATCCCAAGTAGCTGTCCTGTGCTGGTTGGCTCCAGCCAATCAGCTAACATTTAATGAAGAACCCCTCCCCTCTCTTACTCTGTTTTAGCTCTAGATTTCTCATTGCATCATTTTCTTCTGCATTCTAAAATATAATTAGATTTAGCCTGAAACTTCATATATACTTAACTCATTTTCCCCAAAACAGTGACATTTATTAATTCTTGTTGAGTTTTATTCTAGACCTCTGAAGGCTAACATTTGGGATGCTAGTCTGTCACTAGTTTACCCATCTATCCTGCATTAACCTGTGAATGTCTTCTTTCACTCCTTCCTGGGGGAAAAAAAAAGATCATCTTGCTTGTCTCTTAATTGCCTGCCTGTCCTCTGTCTCTCTCAAATCATGGGTTCCCAGAATTGTCATACTTACACTTGATATGATAAAACATCCCGTCATTGCATAATTATATTACTTTTCATAATTCCTATGAATATTTTATGTTCTGCAGTGATTGGGAGGGGGAAAAGCACATGCATGTTACAAACAGCAGTGCTGTTTGTAGTTTAGGTTGCATCTTCTGGAAGAACTATTCTTAAAAACCATATGATTCTCAAGTAATTTCCAATGTTTTCTATTCACAGGTTAGTTTCAGAAAGAGGACTTCCAGCCTTACGCCATTTATTTGACAATGTAAAATTCAAAGGTAAAGGGCATGAGGTAAGATGTACTAAAAATTCTCATTCTGTTTCATAGGGGCTTAGTTTGGACTGATGTTTTATTCATTCTGTTTATTTGGAAGGAGTAGAGCAAAGCCATAGAACAAAATGTGTTGGGTAACATTTGAAGGCTAAAACACTGTTAGGCAGTGTTACTAAAATGCGTCTTGATGGGATTTTGACTGTACCTTAAGTCAGTTGACAGATATGATCTGAAAGATATATCTTGATATTAAATTACCACCCTCAAACTAATGGTTAAAGAACCATTCTGCCTGAAATTTCTCGCATGTAGTTGTTGACCGCAGAGGGATTGTTCTTGAAATTTGTGAGGGTGTTAAGATAAGGCAGGCATAACAGTTTACTTTGTTCTCAAGAAGTACAGAAATTATCTTTGAAAAATTTGGTGAATTAGTTTCATAATATTGTAGTTTAGACTAGAGATTACATGTACAGCAGGAAATTCAGTTGTGGTTTCCATAGTAGCTGACACACAAGACTTAACAAGCTATCATGTGACTAGAATATAACTTACTACATGTGCAAATAGAGTTATGGTTGCTATGGGAACAGTCAGGTTCCTTGACTCTACTGTTTCAGGTCTCAAAAATATTACATAAGCTTTAGGTTTTTGGGAGCCATTTTAAGTTGAGTTGGAACATTTACAAGGGAATTGGGGAATTGACTGAAGTGGTTTGCTCCAGTCTCACCCTGGCACATCTTTCATGTTATACCCTGATGCTTGAAGTGGTAAAGAAAGCATGTAATACTTAGTGGATAAAGTCCAGTTGAAATTCCTATTGCATTAGTGGAGCAAGTGGTCTTTGGCAAAACCGATAATCTGACCTGAAATGTTTATAGGAAGGAGTTATTTCAGGGGAAAACATAGCTGCCTACTTAATAGTATGTTATGGAGCTAACGGTGCATGCAGTAACTTTTTCACAATTTTGGTTTAGTTTTCTGTTTTCTCTGGAATTGTTTTTACAAAGAACCCTTAGCATTAGTTTGCAGACTTCTGAAAAGTGCTCTGATATCCCTGCAAATGTGTTTCCAAATGTTGTTCATCATTCTTATTATACACGGCCTACCCCTACACTCTGACCATAGTTACAGTTGAAGCTGATAGGTTGCTGCTGTGCAGTTTTGCCAAGAAACTTACCTTTGCAACTGTTAAATGCTGCTTGTGTTTCTGAAATTACTTCTCCCTCTAAAATTTGATGACTTACCCAGCTGTTGAATAGAATGTCTTGATTTTTTGGTCCAGGTAGAGGACTTAGACACACTTATGAGACGCATGGAACACTGGGCTCATAGATTGTTTCCAAAACTGCCATTTGATGATTTTATTGACAAGGTTGAATCTTTAGGAAATAAAAATGAAGTCCAAGTAAGTGCTGGTCCTATCCTCTTCTATTCTAATATTATAAACGTCTAAGTCTGTCTGTCTGTAATGCTTTATTTGCACTCTGATTGGCTGACAGAAACAGCCAATCAGAATGGTCCAAGCATGGGGGAGCACTGCCATGATTCTGAAGCCGCACCAAGGACTGGACGGGGTGTGGTAGCTGGGGCCAGCAATGCTGCCCTTGGTGCCCCTGCCCGATTTCCTGCAAGAGGCAGAACAGTGGCGGCACTCCATCCCAGGCCCCTCCCCTCCCCCCCAGTCATTCTTGATGGGCAGCTGGCTAGTTTTCTAATAATACTATATGTTCTCAGGTATGGGTCTGGGAGGAGAAGATTTAAGTTATAATTAGGGACCTACCCAAATCACAATTGCATGGAATTTGCAAAATTGGCCGATCTCTGCAAAATCCGCGAGGGGGAAGAAAACATACCAAAAATAAAATGCTGATTCCCCAGTGGGAGCCAGCTGTTCTCCTGGCCATGCAGACACTTGGGGAAGGGGAGGGGGGGACGGGACTGCTGGCATGAAGGTAAGCAGGCAAGATGGTTGCCACCTCTCTCTGCTGATTGGCTGAGAGGGCTGCGTGTTATTTGGCCCTGCCCCTCTCCACCAGTCAACAGGAAGAGGCCGCATGACAGAGCTCTGTCCACCAATCAGGGGTGGGGTGGGGCCACTGGGCCCCCCGCAGCCATATGGAGGCATTGAGAAGGGGGAAGCAGCCATGATAAGCCCTCAAAAATGGTGGCTGGCCTCACAGTCTTGAAAATGAGCCGGCTGCTGCCTCCAAGTTAGGTAGACCCCTAGTTATAATGCACTTCTAAATAATTTAATGCAAGTGTTTAAGTGAGCTATCACTCATTGTTGAATTAATTATTTAGGATGGCAATATACGTTGTGTTTTATTTGAAACAGTGCTTCAGAGAATCTATTGTGACTAGTAATTAAGACATGACTACAAAAGTTAGTTATGTTGGAATCTTGTTACACATCCGTGTGCAACAGTCTGTTTACTGTGTGCTGTTTCCTCATTGTCAAAATCAGAAACTTACCAGTTACATTTTAAGGTTTTGCATTAATAGCTTTAAGAAACTTGCTTTCAGTGAGGTATTGCAAAGATGCTCTGGTGAATACATTAACTTGTAATAAACAGCATCTCTTCTCATTTTCAGACCTGCTTAAAACGAATTAGACTTGATCTTCCCATTTTGTCTGAAGACTTTACAAGTAATGAAGGCATGTATGCTTTTGTGCAGTTCATCACAATAGTTAGCTCTTCAGAACATTCACTTTCTCTTGCCTTTTTTTGACTGACAGTTAAGGGTAATGGGAAAATAACAAATGCATCCTTGTAAGAATTAGGCTCATCAAGTTCTGTTTTTAAAACACCTACTTTTACTAAAGATTTATACAAATAAAGTACATTTGATCAGAATTGTACTGATAACACTAGGCTGCATTCTGATCAGGCCATATAAATCTCCAGATTTGGTATAAGTGGTTTTCAGAAGGAGTGGAATTGTTTCTTAGCACAATAGTATCCATTATTTCCTGGAAAACAGGTATATATGTAAGTTAATACTGAAGCAAGACAATTGTAGTAAAAGGCTTTTAAGAAACTCATCTGTAGAGGCAAGAACCTTTGATTTTTTGCAAACTGACTAGTCTGATTGGGAATTGAAAATGTATTTAGTACGCCCAAATGATTTGTTTAAGCTGTATTGTTAAAATGAGAAGTCAGATTCTTGTCACCACTGTATTTTATTTATCTTTGCATATACATTATTACCTTTTTGTTTTATTATCTCAAAGTCCAATAGCTTTCTCCTTCTCCCTCCTCCTTGTGCACACTTCATTCCATCAGTTGTTTCAATCAGTGTTTTCAAGTGAATCAGATATTAGTCTGATATCTACTCTGTACATAACTTCTGTTTAGCAAAAGAAAACAGGATTCAGTTAGAATTTCTTTCACAGTACTTCCTAATACTCCAGAAGAGAGGACCCAGACCATAATTTTCCCTGGGGTTCTTGTTACTGATGAAGACAACGACTCATTTAATGTCTTCCCTGTTTCTCTATGGTAGTTTGCTGAAGAACTGGCACAGCAAGTCACAAGCTCCTCTGGTTGCTTCTTTCATTGAGGGTATGACTTGATTATGCTAGAAGGATTCTCTGGCAGAAACCCTCTAGCTACTTTTATTACTTCTGAAGTATCTAGGTTAAGTTTTGAGTTCCACACAGATTTATTTGAATTACACTGATCAGTGACAGGTGCCCTCATCTCTCTTACTGTAAACAAGGCAAATCCCCAGTCTAGGCCGTGCTCTAGTGCCATACAACAAGAATACATCACTAGCAAGCTGAGATCATTTTCTGCTTCTTAGTGAACTAACATTTCCTTCTTCCTCTCCTTTCCTTACATTAGCTGTTTTTATTCTGGCCTCCTAGAAGCCTCCTAACTGCATCACCCTGGATCAGCTTGAGGGGAAGATAGTGCCATTGAGGCATGTCCTTAGCTAAGCTCCACCTGCCCCTTTTTAGGAAGGCTATGTCGTTGATATTGAGCAGTTTGTTCTCCACCTGAAAATGGAACAGAGTTAAAATATATTAAGGAGGGAAACAAACTTGAAAATAAAGTTAGAAAGCTCTGACAAATTAACATTATTTAATAGTCTGTTCTGCATTAGTTTTTTACACCATGCTTATGATTATAGATTTGAGTGCCTTCCGGTAGCATTAGCAATGGGACTAACATTGTAGTGGTGCTCTCTGAGTCTTCTTCCAGGGAAAAAAGCATATGCTGTGGAACGCCTTGTTTTGGCAGAGTTTTATAAATATGTATGTTAGAGAAGGCAAGATCAAAGTAATAAGGCTTGCACTTGGAAAGGAAAGTAGTGAGGTTTGTAGTGGTCTTGAGTTAATGGAGGAATTTATTCCCTTGATTCAGATCAGTACTCAAAGTTTCCTCTCTCGCAGAAGCACTTCATTGTTGGCATTACAGAGATTACTTAATTGGGGACGCAAGATAGTCAAGCACTGTCTTTTATGCTGGAGAGTTAGGTGGCCTTTTACATATCTCTAACCCCAATTTGGAAAGGTCCTTAAAATTAGCCAAGTAGCAACATATTTGATTGTGTCCCAAAATGGTATATTTAATTTAGACGCATAACAAAAAAAAAAAAATCTGCCTATGGGCTGCTTTGTGATCTAAATCAGAAATGTAGGGGGAAAAAAGACATTGATGTAGAGACTGTCTTGGGTTTTTTGTTTATATGTTTGTGTTTTTTGTTGCAAGTCATCAGGCCTTTTCAGAAAGAAAAGACCAATAGGACAGTGTGTAAATTACTTTGTACCTTAGTCATTCAGACGACTTGGCATGGAAAATAGTTCAGGGAACAAGCTGGATAGCTTAATACAGATGTTGGCAACCTGTGGCCCACAGAGCCATTTGATATAGCCCACAAAGCCAGGGGGTTTTGGTAGGGTTCTAGTGGTGGGGGGCTTTCTGGGTCATTCTGGCCTGCATTGCTAACAAAAAAAAAAAAAAAGGGGGGGGGGGGGGGGGTTGCCACCTTCTTGTCACGTGGTTAGAGAATAGCCTTTCATGCAGGGCACAAGCACAAAACCTGTATGCCAGTGTACTAATTGGTGTGGCTGCATTAAGTATCGGTTGCATTTATCAGTAATGTAATGCAACCTTAATCAGCCACGTACAGTAAAACATGGTTCCTGCCGACAGGGTCTGTCAAGTTATCAGACTTCCTGTGCGATGGCTCCATACACTCTTATTTAAAACCATGTTAGTTGCCTTTGAGAGATTCCAATTTTGGCACTGTAGACCTCTATGATAAATGCCTCAGAATTTGTAAAACTAGTATTAATTTTAATTTGTAACCTTTAGTTTTCAAGTCTTTTGTAAGTTTACTTTTTGTTTACAGCAGTGATGCTTACAGTTTTGGTCCTGTGGGTCAGACATATGGCCTTGTGCTGCCCCTGCTGGGCCAGCATCAGGCCCTGTGTGCCTAATCTAGTGCAGAGGACCAGGGCCCACAGGTGTCCCCATAGATCTGCGGGGAACCCCCTGGGCTGAAAGATATGGCACCAGGGGCCAGACCTGGCCTGCAGGCTGGGGGTTGAGCAACCCTGGTTTAGTGCTGTGGAGGTCCAAACATACTTGACCATCAGCATTTCGGAAATGCATCCAATTTTCCCTCTGCTAGAGGCAGGAGAGTTTGTCTGTAATGGAACATGGTGCTTCTGAATTTTAACCCTTTGGGCAAGTCCCTGAACATCTCTGCTTCTGCCCTGTATATCTGTAAAATATGGCAGTTGTGGCTGTAAATATTCTTTGGGAGTTCTGAAGTAGCTGATTGCTTCTACATTTTGGGGAGGTTTTATAATTATTAGTCTGTTCAATAGGACACAGATTCGGTTAGAGTTGAAATGTTCCCAGATGGCCCTTTTTTTTTTCTTTACATGCACCAAAGGGAAAAGCAGCATGACAAGAGTCAGTGCTACAAGAAATTTATTTCTCTCTTTAGTTTTTTCTTCTCCTAACCTTCAAGTGTAGCTTATGGATATTGGTTTAGTGCAGCCAAAAAAAAAGGTGTACGTTACACTCAGAACTCGTTCAGTGTTGCATTTTATACATTTTGGTTCTCTGGTTAACGCTGTAGCTTTGACTACCATCTACAAAGATCTAGAAGAGAGAAGGTTGCTGGCTAGCTACAATTTAAACCAGTGGACAACTTCCAGTTACCGATACCATTTTTTAATTTATTTCCTAACACATTTTTTACAATCTTAGATGTGTATTAAAACTTTTTGCCTTTCTAGGTGTGCGAATAGCAAATTATGGGGTTCAAAAGTGCTGATAAATTTTACTTCTTAAAACAGATGGCAGAGGGGAAAGTAACAGGCTCAATATGGTCGGTGAAGATTTAGACGTTTTTTCTGAAAACGTGAGGGAAGAATTTGATTCTCGCTCAAGTAGCACTCTAACGGAGGAGCAGCAACAAAGAATTGAGAGAAACCGTCAATTGGCCTTGGAACGCAGACAGGCAAAGATGCAGTTTACCAGCCTTTCACAACATAATGGTAAGTAGGGAATGCTTAAATGCTGACGTTGTATTGATAGCTCAGAAATCTCAAAATGCATACCATCCAAATGAAGAAAACATGCTTCCAAATGCCATACAAAACCAGTTCAGTTCCTGGCGGGGCAAGTTTTAAAATGCTTGCTCTTGGCATTCGCTCATTCTTTTGTCTATGAAAAAAGTAGTTGAGCAGTTCTTCTGTTGCAAAGAACTTGGAATGTTTTTGACACTATGGATTCCTATTTGAAATCGCTCTGCTTATCTTGTAATGGCTTTATCACGTGTAAGTTTGCAGCCGTAGCAGTACCAATATTGTATGGCAGCCTGGTTGAGAATCGCTGCTGTTCTTTGTCTGTTTTATCCTTTGCTGACATGGTATGTTTCCAGAGGTTTCTGGGCACACGGGGGGCAACCTGAGGAGGAAAATCCTAGCTTCATGGTTCCAGAGAGAACCCCATACATACTAATACTGTCTGTTACAACATGGGTTGTTTTCTCCACCCACCCCCTCCCCCAACCCAATACAGCAGAGAGGTTAGTTATGGAAAGTCATGGTATAATTCCTGTATAGCAGAGGCAAATGATTAGCTTTACTCCTAAATTCCTATGAAAGAGGCAAGCTCAAAGCCCCTTTGGAACTTGTCTGCCTAAAAGCGATTCCATCCCTTCTATTCTGGAGCCATGTTTTTTCCACTGCCATGTAGGAAGGAGTTGAATTCCCCTTAAGATGTGCTCTGCTTCCTTTTCACCTAATTTGCATATTAAATCAGCTTTAAAGAAAGAAAACTAAAGTGCATATCTGCACTTTGCACACAGCTGCATAAAAACTTTAAATAGTAGTTAAATACTCTCTTCATAATTTTTCACATTAAATGGTGGCATTTTTGTTTATTTCAGGAAGTGACTATTCAAACCTCACAGTGCAACTTTACTCTTTGCAGTACTCTCTTGCCTCGAGAATCATAGTCAGCACTTCTTTCTACAAAGTCGAGCTTGTATAAAAAGAAACTTGAGATTGGAATGTCTTTACTCCGTGTCTTCCCCCCCCCCCCCATATAATTATTATTCCATGAGTATGTTTATCATCCTGCAGATGATCGTTTAGACGATAATGACTCTCCTGAGTTCCTGAGGCTGGCTACAGAGGTGATCCCAAGTCACAGAAGCATGGCTGATTAAGTACTATTACACTATTGGGGTGTCATAGGCAATAACGATCTATATTTGTGATTTGTTTTTTTTTAATAGACCAATCTGCAGGCCACTCAGATGAAGAGTTTAACAGCACTGGGACTCAGAATCCTGACAGTCTGATAAAATTAGAAGAAACTCTAGCTGCTGAAGCAAGAGTTGCTGAGAGAGAAGCCATGGACAAAGATACACAACTGGAACCTGTTGAAGAAGAGATCCAATAACTTTTGACAATATCTGGGTACAAATGATCAAAAATAAAATCCCAGGCATACTGTAGTACTAGCAATATCTCTTTACAGGTGTTGCTGTCTTTTTTCTACTTTCCTTTTTAAACTGGAAGGTTTATGGAAATCTTAATTAAAACAGTGCAGATGGCCAAAATGTTCCCTGTGGGGGAAAAAAGAGCAGGTGTATATGTTGTTCTACAACAGAATATCTGGTAAAAGAACAAAACACCATTTTGCCTTTTCCCTATACTTGAACCTTACTTTTGTCACTGTTGAAAAAGCATTGCTGATACTAGGTTTTCTGAATTATATATAGAGTGAGGGGGTTTTTATTCCCCCCCCCTTTTTTTTCCCCCTCAAACTTATATTTTGAAAGTCACTTGGAATCCTGTTTTAGGAAAGGTTTTCTTTATAGGAAATAAGTGATAGTGAAATGTCTTGCTGTATGTGAACAGGTATCTCGATTTAGCTGTTCAGAAACATTTTGTAACCATATTAATTTCTTATGAAATGTTTGTATTTCATTATTATACAAAAGTTATTAAATTTTGGAAACCAAGTATGAAACGCATGTAACAGCCTTATCTAATGGACGACACGCATCACTGAAGCAAGTTACTACCTTTTCTGAAGTGCAGCTCAATTTAATCATGCGTTCAGACAGTACTATGCAGATTCCTGTTGACAACACTTGAGGTAACACAAGTAAGTAGCTCAGGGTTGTGAAAGTAGTCTGAAGAGATGATATTGCAGTAGGCCCATTAGAAGCTGAACTACACTTGATTTAAGGGTTGATTGGAAAGGCTCCTGCCTTTCACAGCAACTGTTTACTTTCTGTTCCGCCCTCCTGTCCTCAAGTCCCATGTTTCTGTTCAAAAGGTAATAGCAGGTTCTTTGACCTTCTCATTTTAGGAAGAGAATCAGTTCAACAATTGAGTAGTTCTTATAGTATGGTAGTACTGCAGAAGTCAATGAAACGAACATTATGTACGGCAGTTAAACAACCCCTGTAAGCAGACCGTCTCTTCACATCTTACTGATGTTCATTTGTGACATCTTTTCATAGTGATAGTGGCCCCAGGCTTCCTAAACCTGCCCTTTGCTAGCATGTTGTAAATAAATGGGTTCGGGCTAAATACATGAATGTTCTTTAAGGCTATGTTCATCAGTTACAGTGTTTTATTGGATAACTGACCTAGGTAAAACAATTAAAAGCCACTGCACAATCTGCAGAAAACTTACGTGGACAAGTATCATCTGTACTAGTATGTTCATCACTAGATATCATTATTTATAACCAAATACAAAATTGATTTAGATTCCTGTTAAAAATCTAGTTAGAAAAATAAATTCTGAGTAGCTCTTAAAGCAGAATCGGGAGTTTTTCAGTAAGACAAATCTCTGAAGAGGTCATTTAAGTCTTGAATGTGACAGTTCATTGTGCATAAAAAACACAAAAATTCAAGTCTGTTTTCATTAAGTAGAAATATTACCTTTTATCTAAAATAAATACCAAAAGTTTCTCAATTTCCTAAAACATCAGTTTTAAAGATCAGTACCTCCTTTTTAAAAAAAACAGGATTTAAAAGTGAGTGAAGTTGCCGAAGTGGAATACAGCAGCATGCAACAAGACCATGTTACACTTCATGCTCTGTTACCAGCTGAGACATCTAACAGATCCAGGTCTCTGATTTCCTCCAGTAGTTGATACAGACTAGTTCCCTTTGTTTGGCAATATTCCTGATATTCTTCCTGAATTATTTCAGCCCTGGCTCTTTCTTGGGCAAGCTGAGCTTCTTCTGCAGACTTGGTTACTTCTTTCACTAAGTCACTTTTCATTACATGGGAATTCTGAGAAACGTCAGCGTCGGTTGTCTCGTACGGTGTGTTGCTAACTATCTCAAGCTTGAGGGTGTCAGCATGGCATCGGGAGGACTGCCCAAGTATTTTCACCTTAGAAAGAGAGTACAGAATGTTATTTCCTCCCCACAAGTTGTGCACTTAGTAATTCCTTTAATTTTCTTCTAAATGAACTGAAGACACTTACTGTGATATGTTCAAACAGACTCAGTGTAACAGATTCTCCAGCAGTTGTAGTGGAGGTAATTCTGTTTTGGAAGCGCTGGAGAAAACCAGGTTTCCATTCACAACTCCCGTCAGACTGACATGAGATGACTAAACCCTCCTTGTTTTTCAGATATGCAGGAGCTTTAATTCCATACCTATAGGACAGAGAAAGTGAAAATAAGAACACGATTTCTGATACAAGGAATCAGATCGGCAAACTAATCTTATTCATAAGTTTAGTCTAACAGTACACAGACCAGGGATTTGGAAAGGGAAAGATACAAAACTGAAATAGGTAACTACACTTACAGAATTTTTTTTGAAGTGGAGTTTATTCTTGCTTCAATATCTCTTTGTCTTCCTACCCTCCCCCAGTTAACCAATGTGGAAGTCTACCTCACCACCTCTATAACCCACAATCAGGGAGCAAGGAAAATCATCAGCTAATCAAACCTAATTTTCCAGTTGAGAGAGGAAGAGACCAAGTTATCCCTGCCATTCCAGCAGCTCCTGGTCCTTTGGGGTGTTTATACAAGCACTCTGGGAATGGCGAGGGGGCTCTTTAATTGGAGTGGCTCTGAGACCTGCTCTAAAAGCACCCAGAGTGTCCCCGTGCTGAAAAATGGTGGCAGAGGTGCTTTAACTAAAGCTCATTGAACAAGCTTTAGTTAAAGCGCCCCTGCTGCCATTTTTCAGCACGGGGACGCTGATACATGAGAAGCTGGAGTCCACTGGAGTGTGGTAATTACCATGCTCCAGCAGTCAATTGAGTCTACACTGACGCTCTGTAATTACAGCACATCAGAGCAGCCTCGCTGCTCGTGTACGGGCACCGTTTGGGGCTGGGAAAAGCTCTTCTAACAGTGAAAGGCAGAGCTGTCTAACTACTGCATAACAGCAATTGTTATTCCTACTCCTGCAATTCAATACAGCTGAATTATGCTAAAAGAATATTTAATAGATTCACTTAAAAATATTAATGTAGTGTAAAAGCTTAAAATTAGTTTCACATAAGGACTGCTCCACAGCACATGAGAGACTGTTGCTAATTACAAGTTGAAGGGCTGGCACAGTTAAGTGCCTGTCTATATTTGTTTCTCTATTCTGGTTGCTCTCTCAGGATCTGGTCTATGACTAGCTGCTGGTCCGCATAAAATAAGCCACAAATGCTTTCAACTGATATATGCTGGATTTTTGCTTGTAGCCATGTTGGTCTAAGGACATAGGCCGGCAATGTTCTTTGGGTGAATCTGATCTCTTTTACTCGACCAGCTGAGTAGTTGGAAACAAGTTCTTTACAAGCTTTCGGCCACAATCACCCTATATGTACTATGCTTTCTCTACCCAGAAATACAGATGGGACCTTGCAAGAAAGGCACAATTGCCATCCTCACTAAGAACATAAGAACTGGATATCAGCTACATGAAGCAGCTGGTAGGAAATGAATTGGGTGCAAAGTAAGAGGCAGCTAAGGAGGGTGCAGCTTTAAACTCTTTCCTTCCCTGATACAGACCTGCCTTTTGTTCGATTCCCTTTCTAATACTAAAAAATATACTTGCAGTGAAACACTTCAATTCTTTTCTTTTCCTGGGAGAAAGCGAGCTGAAAGGGATTGCTATGGCAGTTGCAAGGACAGCCAGGCAGTGGAAGGCCGTCTGACCGTTCTTTTAAGTTAGACTTTTAAGTATTCAGAATAGGTAAATACTATATTCTGTAGCCTGAATTAATGGATAGAAAGTATTGCTTCCACCCAGAAACAGCTGAAAGTGAAGCCTAAGCTTGTTGCAGTTGGAGAAGGGCTATGCAAGGTAGTTCAGCCCTCCAAAACCCCAGCGACCCCTGGTTATTTCTAGACTAATTATAAACTCTAATCAACTTACCTTGGTACAAAAACAAGCACACCATTTGTTCGAATTGAGTAAATAACACCATCTGCTACACAGCGCTCATCAGCTTCAGCAACTTTGTCTTTGAAATACATACACTGGAAAAGCTCAGTTGACTGCTTCTGGGCACGTTGTGCAGCCTGTGAGAAGGGAGAACCCCCATGAAGAGTTTATGATCATAATAAATCAATGTTGCAGAAGATGATTTGGCTTCCAAGTTGTAAATTTCTAGAAGGGTCATTTCATTATTGTATTTTTATAAAAATAGACTTATCTACTCCAAAAGCTGGCAACCTTTTGCTGCAGCAGGCTGCTGCTGGCAACCCAGCTCCCTCCTGTGGGCTACAAACCTATGCACCCCTCCGGAGTCAGCAGATGGTGCAGAGGGAATCCAGCATGATGCAGGTGGTAGGACCCTCGGGATGCCTCTGCTCCTCTGGCCACGGGGAAGAGTGGGCCGCACAACCCTAAGGACTCCTGCCCAGCTGCACCATGGGGCTGATTCCCTGAGCTACTGTTGGCCATATCCCATCTCTTCCACAGGTTGCCATCCATGTCCCTGCCCCAAGGTGGGAAGTACTACATGTAAAAAAATGCATGCTCTTCAGCTGCAGCTGTCTTAAGAAGAATTACATAAATACCACGTTCCTGGTGCAACTAAACCCTATCTAAGGAGCAGACAATCTGTTTAACTGTTACATTCAGAAACAGAAGCAACAGGAGTGTTGCAAGTCCACTGGGTTAAGAAGACTCCTTGGGTCTATTCCCACCCATGCTGCCTGCTGATATTTGCCTCATGTTTTATCTTTGTCAAGCCAAAAAGACAGATATGCTTTCATGTTTGTATAATAGTACTACTTGGATATAACTGACTATGCTGGTAGGGTCAGGTTGACAAGTGGTTAATTCTGCTTGGTTTCAGGGAAATCTATAACATCCTTTTCCTTTCTGTTGGCAAAAGGAAGTCTTTATTTCCAACTCCACTCCCAGGGGAGAAGGTGGATTAGGAGAATCCACTGGAGCAGAGGATCAGGACTGACTCCACTATAATCAATCTACAAAGCTCCTCAG